CCACACTCTAGGACCAATCTTCAATGCTACCAAGATTACATCCAGGGACGTTACTATATGCATTTCTACACAAGATAAGCTTAATATTGCGAATATTGTGATTCATAGAACTTTCATACATATATATGTTTCCATTTTTTTCTAAAACCTGTCTACAAAATATCTAGTTACAGAGACGGAATACTGACTCAAGATGATTGCTGGTGACGTGACATGGCACGTTATTATACGCCGATAAACCTATCGAATGACGGGTGACGTTAACTTGCGAACGCCACTGCGTCACGGCCATTGTCAGTAGCGTCACTAAGACGGTCACAACCAAAGTTCTATGTGTTCGAAACATCAACGCAGTGCGTCCTTTCATGTGATGATTACCGGATATTCGTAAATACCAGCAGTCACTGCGGTATAACAACCACTTGATACATTTAAAGCGGGAGGATCGTCACCTGCGCACTCGCGGGAATTGAGTCTCAAGCGACGATAACAACACACGCTAGAAACGCAAATGGCTTCTGAGTAGACGCTTGTTTGTAAACCATGACACGCTATGGCCATCTGACGCATGCGCAGGTGACGACTCCCCTGCTTTAAAGTGTCAAAGTAGCACCACATTCTACAACTTTGACCCGCACACCATCCGAGCGAAACATTCTTGAGACTCTATTGAAAATTTCGCAATTTTAACTATTTAACAATTCGTTAATTAGTGAAAAGAATGGCTAAAGTGACAACAAATTGCATTTATTTTGTTATTTATTTAATTGTCTGATAGTAGAACTAACTACATCATAAATTATCGATCTAATAGTCCAATCGTCCGTGTGAGATTCAAAAATGCGCCTCGTGAGGGCGATCACAACTCTGCTTACTCACTTATTTTGGATTAGGGCTCATATCACTAATTAAAACTCCATAGACGACAATGCTAGCATTTGATTGAATTTTCCCAAAAAAGGGGGATGCAAAAATCAAAATATTGTTTTAATTTGAAGAAATCACATGTATGTAATAGAATTATGACAAGTAAAACACATGTTGGCCAGCTTAAACTCCTACAAAATGGATGTAAACAAAACACACTGCTTTGATAGGCTAATTAAGGCCATGTGACCATCACTGCGAGGGGAACTATCACGAATGATTAATAAAGCACGTCATACTTCCTAGCATCACCGAATCTACGACATATTATAAGTCAATTCCGAGTTGAATTGCTGGAAAGAATCGATCACAGATCACAAGTGTTGCAGTAGTTGCCAGAATGCCATTCGTTCCTTCACGGTTACTAGTAACCGTGGTTCCTTCCAAATCATCGCGACAGGTTATAATCTGTGCTGCCCTTTCGCTATTAGAAACCCAATAATTTGTTTCGGGTGTCGAGGTTTTACGCAAGTCCGTACATTGTCGGGAATGGTCTACAAAAACGACACGTGCCCTGCAGTGTGTACACGAGTACTGATGTCATCAGAGAATACCGTTACTGAACAATTTGTGAACAGTTTTAAATCAAAATTAACCCATTTCGGACTGTGTTATCGATAACAAACAAATCGAATGACGTTCGCTTGACAACGGCGTTGCGTCACGGCCATTGTACTGCGTCAATAGCGTCACTAAGACAGTCACTGATGTTCTATGTGTTCGAAACATCAATACAGTGCGGATGCGCTGAAGTTTCGGTCGCAAAAAACGTCCTTTCGGGCGATGATTATCGGATATTCGGTAATACCAGCAGTTACTGTGGTTTAACAACCACTTGATACATCAAAATGGCAAGTATGTATGTAGCACTGTATTCTACATTCTGTATAATGATCGTGGTGACGAAACTTCGATCGGCAGTCCACCGGAGACGAACTGAGTTATCACTCGTGTGAATATATTGATATGTCGGTAACTTGAATATACTGCGTTTCAAAGCAGTTACAGTGTCGTGTGCAGATTTACGTCATGACAGTTTTGAATTTTATTATTATATTCCAATCTATTTGACAATACTTTCATTAGTTAGACAATTAATTGACAAATAATTTATTTTGACCGTTTGAGGGCGCTTGTTTAACCATGTCCGAGGCTTCAATTCTCTAGTCTCTAAAATATTCCGGAAAACGTGTACGTCATTTAGACCAATGCAAGAATTAGCATCGCCTTGATACGGCTAAGGTGATAACAAATTGCATTTATTTTGTTTGAATTGACTTATAGTAGAATTAACTACATCATAAATTATATATAATCGTCCGTTTGAGACTCGACTCGTTTGAAAATGCGCCTCGTGAGGGCGTCCACACCTCGGCTTACTTATTTTGGATAACAGCCGAGGGAGTTTTGTACATTCAACAAAGTGATAGATTTCCGCCAAATATAATAACCTAATTAATTTAAATTTTTTATTTGGTCATTAATCCATTGACGGCAAAGAAATCATTCATTCTTTGAATGATTCCCAGTTAGACTTACACCAGTATGATCACTGGGTAGAAACATTAAATGACCATAACCAATGAGATGGAAATCAGTCAGAGGTTCTGGTGGTCTTTGATTTTTGATAGTGTACTCCTCAAAACTATGTAGACAAATCATGTTAATCTAATTTGAGAACAATAGACAAATGTGTACGATGTCGCCTTAGGTTAAAATTACAAGCAGCCTCTCGGCTGAGATAGCTCCGCTGTTTGCAATGCACATTTCAATTATAGAACAGAAGATATTAGAAAATGAACAATATGCATAGTATCAATGCAATGGGACTTGCTGTTTTCAACAAAAATTCAAAAAATATCATTTTTCACCATAAATGATTGTGGTTTTTAACAAGAAGAAAATATCACTTTTTACCAAAAATATTTACCAAAATTACTGTAGATAATTAAGGTATCATTACAAAATGAACAAATCTGAGAGAGGTCCACATGTAGTACCTACTAGTATATATGTAATAATATCAAAGCAATTGGACTTGTCGTTTTTAACAAGAAGTCGAAAATATCACTTTTTACCAAAAATGACAAAAATATTCACCAAAATTGGAGAATTTAAGATATCATTACAAAATGAACAAATCAGAGAGAGGTCCACATGTAGTACCTATATATGTAATATCAAAGCAATTGGACTTGCGGTTTTCAACAAGAAGTCGAAAATATCACTTTTTACCAAAAATGACAAAAATATTCACCAAAATGAGAGAATTGAAGATATGATCATGAAATGAACAAATCTGAGAGAGGTCTACCCAAGGTACATATACACCAAGTATCCAAGCATTCAGGCTTGTAGTTTAAAAGAAGAAGTTGAAAAAGTAAAACATTGACACGGACGATGGACAATCACTCGTATGATAAGCTCCGCTCGACAAAGTCGACAGCGGAGCTAAAAAAGCCTAGGAACTGATTTTACATGTAATCCAATTGGGTAACTCCCAATTCCTTTGCATCAACAATAATTTGTTATATGAACTTAAAGAAAAAGGCATGGATTTCCAAACAGGTTTATTCGGTTAACTAAAAGGACAGTCACATAATAACAGCAGCCAATACAACCATAAACAGATAATAACAAAACAAAATGAGTCATAAAATGTAACCACACAAACAAACCATGTTTCTAAAATGTTATAAATCTGTATTTCATTATTTATTTTTTGGTTGGTAAAAAATGAACAATTTGTAAGTTCTGTTTCAGTCACATGATGCAAATTTCTGGTGATGATTGGCTACTTAAGGATCACCTTGGCAGTACGTTAGTATTGCAAAACATTTTTATGAAATCAATCACCAAAAATAATTTCTACTGACTCCATCAATCTGAAGCATTTTGAATAAATGACTCCCTAGGTTACTCAATACAGATACAACAAAATGTTTTGAATAAATAACTAGATTGAACAATACAGCTTCATAGTTGGGTTTTATTTACTTGCTTCATAGTAAAGCAATTTGAATGATTGTCTAGGTTACCCAATAGAGCTTAAACAAAGCATTTTGAATAAATGACTCCCTAGGTTACCCAATAGAGCTTAAACAAAGCATTTTGAATAAATGACTCCCTGGGTTACCCAATAGAGCTTCAACAAAGCATTTTGAATAAATGACTCCCTAGGTTACCCAATAGAGCTTCAACAAAGCATTTTGAATAAATGACTCCCTAGGTTACCCATTAGAGCTTCAACAAAGCATTTTGAATAAATGACTCCCTAGGTTACCCATTAGAGCTTCAACAAAGCATTTTGAATAAATGACTCCCTAGGTCAACCAATAGAGCTTCAACAAAGCATTTTGAATAAATGACTCCCTATGTCAACCAATAGAGCTTCAACAAAGCATTTTGAATAAATGACTCCCTAGGTTACCCAATAGAGCTTCAACAAAGCATTTTGAATAAATGACTCCCTAGGTCAACCAATAGAGCTTCAACAAAGCATTTTGAATAAATGACTCCCTGGGTTACCCATTAGAGCTTCAACAAAGCATTTTGAATAAATGACTCCCTAGGTTACCCAATATAGCTTCAACAAAGCATTTTGAATAAATGACTCCCTAGGTCAACCAATAGAGCTTCAACAAAGCATTTTGAATAAATGACTCCCTGGGTTACCCATCAGAGCTTCAACAAAGCATTTTGAATAAATGACTCCCTAGGTTACCAAGCTAGTAAAAGGTTCTTCCCAGAGTAGTGGCCGCCCCTAATTGAATAGATTGCGTTTTACTCTTTTCTCATGTATTAACTCCATAATCCGCATAGAATAAAATCACTTGCATCTAAAAAATGAGATGGCAAAGTTGTACAAAAAGATTTTTCAATATTTACACTATCTCAGCCTTATTGCTCGCTGTAAAACTCTTTACATCATAATGTTCAATGAAAGATGTTTAGATTTGTAATTAATGGCGGATTTTTGTACAAAATATGGTCGGCACACAGTAGACCGGGTCAACCGATATCATCCACAAGTCATATTGATAATTTGCAGAAAGCTGAAGACACTGGAGCAGTAAAGTAAAATAACAATTCTGTTTTAATAACATTTCATAGGAATAATCTATGATTTGGAATGTAAAGTATATTGTGGCTTATAAATGTGATGTTAGTCTCTTGTCTGGCAACTAGCAGTGTACCCCTCAAAACCCTAATAAATTTGAAAAAGACTTTGTAATCAGTTTACAGAGAAGCTTACATGTACGTGTTGATACGGTAGTGGGCAACATTCACCTGTACGAGTTGATACGATGGTGGCAGTCTTCACCTCTACGTGTTGATACAGTGGTGGCAGCATTCACGTGTACGAGTTGATACGATGGTGGCAGTCTTCACCTCTACGTGTTGATACAGTTGTGGCAGCTTTCACGTGTACATGTGATACGATGGTGGCAGTATCCGGTTTTACATATTTCCCCTATTTTTTGTATTACAATTTATGCACTCAATGTTGCTCCCACTGTTGATAAAAATGTTGATAAAATCCCCTTACTAGTTTCCAGCTGACAAACCCAGATACAACTGTCATACACCACTAGGGGATTTATTTGAACTACGCACATCCCATATTTGCTCTATTAGCAGTGCATGAGCTTACAAAAATTAGAGATCTTGCTATGGTCAAAATAAGTAATACTTTAATGATTCAGCACACAACAAATGTGGTTATTGGTTTATATGCGCTCATAATAGAGGGAATATGGAACAGCATTCCAATCATTGTGACGTACTTATGAACGAGTTAAGTGGTCCACATATGCATGTTAATTAAATGAAGCCCTTCAGGTTGCCTGCAATTCATAGCCCTATCACAAGATACCACACAGGAGCATTTACAATCAGTTATCTGGTACAACTAAAAAATTTACTACACAAAATATGACTATTTTTGTATAAAATTCAAATACAACAGAATTCAGTAAAAAATAAACTGGTTACAACATTTTTGGCTAATTTCATAAAAAAAATCAAGAAAACTACCTCTACATATATTATTATTATAATAAAAATGTTCTGGTTGGTACAAAACTATGCAACATTCTATGTTATATCACACAACTTTCAGTGAACAACTATGTTTTGTAAGTTGTCAGGTTTCCGAGTCCTTTTACAGGATTCAAAAAGCCGATGAATCATTCCCATGCACATATGTGTCTGCTATTAAATAAACATTATTTACATATGCTGAAAATGCCTACAAGAGCATTTAAGTCTGATGTGCCCTGCAACAAGCATTATTCAAGCTTGATGTGCCCTGCAACAAGCATTATTCAAGTTTGATGTGCCCTGCAACAAGCATTATTCAAGCTTGATGTGCCCTGCAACAAGCATTATTCAAGCTTGATGTGCCCTACAACAAGCATTATTCAAGCTTGATGTGCCCTGCAACAAGCATTATTCAAGCTTGATGTGCCCTGCAACAAGCATTATTCAAATTCATTTATGTTAGATGCATCTTGCAATGCGTTATTTACATTTGCTATACATGCTCTGCCATGAGCATTGTTTATCTTAGATGTGTCTTTTCAGTCAGTTATTTACATTGGCTGAATGTGCCCTGCAACGAGCATTATTCAGGTTTAAAGGGCCTTGGAACAAGCATTAATTAAGTTAGGTGTGCCCATCCATTAGCATTTTCTACATATGTTCATGCACAGTTTCCTTCTTATAAATAGCACCACATTTGCCCATGTATTTGCGTATGTATTCTTTTGCTTTTCCCTTGACATTTTCATTGACTTCTAAGTCTTCCACATTGCGGCAGTGTTTCATCTCCTTCGCCATGATACCATGCGTTAACTATTGTCAAAGAATAAAATAATGTTGTTATATAAATAATTTTTGAATAGAATTAACAATTCATGTGACTTGAGCTCAAAAATGAAAAATGCTATCATTTAAACATACACAGAAAAATCCGTAAATCACCTTACATCTGAACACTTTATTTGGTTACACCGACACAAGATATGTAGTGTGCAATGGAAATAGAAGATGTAGAATAATAAGTTTATCACAAGAACACCACAAAGTATGCATTCAGGCAGTACGGAACCAACATGTTGGTCAATACAAACTCCTTACTGCCTTTGTGTATACTTTTCAGTATTCTCGTGATAACCTCATCATATATGTTAATATATGCAGTGACTTACCTTTCTAGCAAGATGTTTGAAGTCATCTGTTGATGTAATTCTACCAAGTTTACAATCTGGTTTTCTGTACGGATTTAACACACTGACAACATAAGTTGACATCTGGGGGGAAAAAAGGTATTGGTTTGTAAGTTTTTTTGATTTTGACTGCTACGCAACACTCCAATAGTGTGTATCACTCTGAATCATATGTGACTATCTGGCTATAGCTAAGCTACGACTGAGGTATACTGACATACATTCATACACTGTATTTTTGATAGACACACAATGTATGATGCAACATTCTTCTGTCAAAATGTTACATATCTGAGCAGTAAATATTCCACAGGAGTAGCAAGTTGTTGTCAGTGGGTGAGACACTACCACATTAAATATGTCAATTTCACTTGTCATTAAGTCAGAAGTGAAGATTTGCAGTTATTTGAATCTTCACAAAAAAAATGGTCACCAGTCAGCTATAGCATATAAAGAGCATCTGTTTCCTCATGATATTTTAACTTTGTGATTGACAATTTCTGGGTACCAGTGGGTCATATTTAATTCAAACATGGCAACCAGTGGGTCATATTTAATTCAAACATGGCAACCAGTGGGTCATATTTAATTCAAACATGGCAACTAGTGGGTCATACATGTATTTGATTCAAACATGGCAACCAGTGGGTCATATTTAATTCAAACATGGCAACTAGTGGGTCATATTTAATTCAAACATGGCAACTAGTGGGTCATATTTAATTCAAACATGGCAACCAGTGGGTCATATTTAATTCAAACATGGCAACCAGTGGGTCATATTTAATTCAAACATGGCTGCCAGTGGGTCATATTTAATTCAAACATGGCAACTAGTGGGTCATATTTAATTCAAACATGGCAACTAGTAGGTCATATTTAATTCAAACATGGCAACTAGTGGGTCATATTTAATTCAAACATGGCAAGTAATGGGTCATATTTAATTCAAACATGGCTGCCAGTGGGTCATATTTAATTCAAACATGGCAACTAGTGGGTCATATTTAATTCAAACATGGCTGCCAGTGGGTCATATTTAATTCAAACATGGCTGCCAGTGGGTCATATTTAATTCAAACATGGCAACTAGTGGGTCATATTTAATTCAAACATGGCTGCCAGTGGGTCATATTTAATTCAAACATGGCTGCCAGTGGGTCATATTTAATTCAAACATGGCTGCCAGTGGGTCATATTTAATTCAAACATGGCTGCAAGTGGGTCATATTAGATACAAACATGGCTGCCAGTGGGTCATATTTAATTCAAACATGGCTGCAAGTGGGTCATATTAGATACAAACATGGCTGCCAGTGGGTCATATTTAATTCAAACATGGCTGCAAGTGAGTCATATTAGATACAAACATGGCTGCCAGTGGGTCATATTTAATTCAAACATGGCTGCCAGGGGGTCATATTTGATGTATAAAATTGGAACAAAATCAATGTTAATGACATACTTTAGTTCTGAATTCTTCTTTCTTTCTCTTGGCAGCTTCACTGGAGGTATCAGCTGCTGCTTGTGTTGCTCTCTTCTTTGTCTTCTCATCATAGGTTGGAGTACCTAGATCCATGTCTGTTTCCTCACTCCCCATATCAGGGGGATTTCCTTCCCATGTAGGAGGATCCCACTGAGTTTGCCTGAAATATAGCCCACGAATAATAAGTGTAATGATATAATTAGCATACATAGTGACACCATGAATCTGATTGGTTGACAAGGCAATGAGGTGTAATGATATAATTAGCATACCTAGTGACACCATGAATTTGATTGGTTGACAAGGCAATGAGGTGTAATGATATAATTAGCATACCTAGTGACACCATGAATCAGATTAGTTGACATGGCCATGAGGTGTGATAATAAAATTAGCATACCTCATGACACCATGAATCTGATTGGTTGACATGGCCATGAGTGTAATAATATAATTAGCATACCTCATGACACCATGAATTTGATTGGTTGACAAGGCAATGAGTGTAATAATATAATTAGCATACCTAGTGAAACCATGAATCTGATTGGTTGACATGGCCATGAGTGTAATAAAACAAGTAATTGAAAATGACCACAGTCCC